CCCGTGAGGCTCCCAAAGTTCCTAAAGTGTGCCTGCTGCATCCCAGAGTGTCCCAAAAGTTCCCCTGCTGCATCCCAAAGTGTCTCAAAGTGTCCCTAGTGCATCCCTTACTGTTTCAAAGTGTCCCAACCTCCCACACTGCATCCCTGAATCATCCCCTCGTGTCCCCACAGTGGCCTCACTGCATCCCAAAGCGGCTCCAACCCAACAGTTGTCCCCATTACATCCCCACATATCCCCACCGTACCCCAAAGTGCCCTTGCTGTGTCCCCAAGTGTTCCCTCTGTGCTCCAGCCACCCCTGCCATGTCCCAAACCCCTGCCATGTGCTCAGCTGTCCTTGTTGTGTCCCCAGGTGTCACCCCTGTGTCCTCAACCATCCTCCTTGTGTCCCTGCCATGTCCCAAAGCACTTCAGTCGTGTCTCTTGCTGTCCCTTTTGCATCCCACATGGTCCTGGTTGTGTCCCAAATCGTCCCCATCATGACCCAAAGTGTTCCCACTCCAAGTGGGTGGCTCTGGGTGATGGGAACTCACGTCCCATGATGGTTCTCATCACCTGTCCCCACTGCCTGTGGTGACACTTCTGGTGACATGGGATTTGGTGATTCCGTTTGGGAAGGGTGTCCCAGGTCACCCTGGTGGCCCTCAGTCTCAGGTTCCCTCGTCTTCATAGGGTACAAAGGGCACATGGTGTCCCCAAGGGTCCACTGATGTGCCTGCAGTGCCACCAGGTCCCTGGGATGTCCCCATGTCCTGCCAACACCACCTGACCCCGATGGCTGAATGGGCTCTTTATTCGGGAATCGGGCGGTGGGCTCCGGCCATGGCACAGCCTGGCTTCTCCCTGCCCTCCCTCCCGCTGGTGCCATGTCCCTGCAGGCACTGCCAGCCTGGGCACCTCCATCCTCTCATCCCGGGAATGCCGCTGGCCCCGACAAGCTGTGGACCACAGGGCTCCATAGTCCATTGACCAGTGGGGGCCCCACAAACCCCACACCCCCCTGGGGTGGATCCGGCCCCCGTAGGAGTGGGTGGCCGAGGAGGACCCCTGGGGGTGCCCATCCCTTGAGCTGGGCCACCATTCTGTCCTTCGTAGAGCCACGGCCACCTCCCATCGTCTGCGGTGACACATCTGAGTCCTTCCTGGAGGAGCTGCTCCGTCAAGTCCCCACTGCTGAGGGTGTGTCCTGGGGGTTTATCCCTCCGGGAAGATGTAGCCGTAGTGGTTGAGGATGTGCTCCACCACCTGGTTCTGGAAGACCATGTGCATGGCCATGTTGCCCTCCTCGCTCGCCGGCCGCAGCAGGGTGGGCCCGAAGACGATGGCGACGCTCTGCACCGACATCCTGTTCTCCTCCCTGTGCTCGATCACCCTGCAGGGATGGGGGGGTGTCACC